GGGAGGTGACCTGGAGGACACTCACATGTGAAACATCACGTACCCAGAGTGCCTCCCCGACGAGCTTCCAAACGCACCCGTTGGACCCACGAGGAGCCGCATACAGACAATTTCTGAAACCACCCGTCGACCACGCAAGTGTTGTCGGAAACGTGAGCCAACGGACAATATGATAGCCAGCACCAGGCCCCATAGCTCCCCGCGGGCAATCGTCTGAACTCCACCAGGGAGCCTTCCGAAGACAGCAGCTTCAGGTAGAGAGGGACATCAAAGCTGGAGTGTGGTGACGACAACGCCGAGACGCCGAAGGCGAAGGTCACGGCTATGTTCGCCTCCACCCGCGTCTCCGAAACCACCAGGGGGTGTTCAAGAGAATCGAAAGCTAGCCCAGCATTCTCAGGGAATTCACCGTCTTCATGACAGAAAATGCCAAGCCTCGATCTCCGACGGGGGTGGCACCCTGTTCCAGGAAGCAGGTTTGGGAGGAGGAAGTGAGAGACAGCGAGGTGAGAGGAGGAGAGAGAAAGATAACAAGAGGAGGGGGGTGAGAAGAAGGAGGAGGACCAGAGCAAACCAAAAGGCATCAGCGATTCTGCAACACGCAGTCTCGTCCCAAGTCCCCTCCTCATACGTCCCCAGAAGTGTTCTTTCCTTCTCACTACAAGAAGCGCCCCCCTTGAAAGATGGGCCTGCCATTTTGACGAGGGCCCCGCGTTGAAAAGGGATTGCATTGATTTTTTCCGGCACGCAATCAGGAGCGCGAGAAAGTATGACCATGCAGTCCAACGGGGTGTCTAGCGAGTTATTTGTTGTGTAATGGTTGCGCAAGTTTATGTACACGTGCGGCCATCAATTTCGAGGAAGACTCATGCGACAGCTCCATCTTGAAATAGAGCCGCCCTGTGTTGAAGTTTCGGGTATCTCGAACGAACGAGGTCTACAGTGAGAACCCCGCTTCGAAAATGAATTTGACGCGACCAAAATTCGTGCAACGCTTCCTAATCTGCATTGCTTGGCATTGATTGGCATTCGACTGCCGTTCTTGGCATTGCGTTGCTTCCCATTGCTTTGCGGTGCTTGGCGTTGCTTGGATTGCTTGGCATTGATTGGCATTGCTGAGCATTGCTTGGCATTGTTTGGCTGGCAGTGCTTTGTGTTGCTTCGCAGTGCGCTCGGCATTTATTTGTTTTGTTGTGGGTTTATTGGCATTGCTTGGCGTCGCTCGAATTGCTTAGCATTGATCTGCATTGCTTGTCGCTGCTTGGCGTTGCTAGACGTTTCTTTGCATTGGTTGGCATTGGTTGCACTGCATTGCTTGGCATCGATTAGCATTGCTTCGCATTTCTTTGCACTGCGTGGCCTGGCACCGCTTGGCATTGCTTGGTTTTGCTTGGCGTTGCTTGGCGTTGCTCGGCATCGCTTGGCGTTGCTTGACATCGCTTGGTGGTGCTTGGCATTCCTTGGTATCGGCTTGCGTTGCTTGGCGTCACTCGGCATTGCTTGGCACCCGTGCAACATTACATGTGTTGAAATGCTAGGTATTTGAGGTGATCGAGGTCTCCAGCGAGAACCCCGTTTTGAACATGAACTTGGTGAGACCCCAACTAGTGGAACGCTTCCTCAGCGGTATTGATTGGCATTGCTTGGCATTATATTTTGACATTCCTTTGCTTTACATGGAATTGCTTAGCATTGCGTTGCATTTCTTGGCTTTGGTTGGCGTTGCTTAGTACGGCATAGGGAAACAATTAGTAGACACCCACTTGCCCCCCCCAAGTCAAAGTTGGCACGCGCGGGGAAGACTGCAGTCGAAGTGCAGTTCATTCAACCCACCGTCAACATGATCATTGGGGGGGCATTGACAGATGAGTGCAGCAAGAGTGTTCGCTAATTTCTTACGAGGCCTGTATGTCTTTGCATTGCTCGGTGCCCTTTGCACTGCTTGTCATTCCTTGGTATTGGCTTGCATTGCTTGGCATGGCTTGGCATGGTTTGCGTTTCTTGGAATTGCTTGGCAGTGCCTGGCAGATTGCTTGTTGTCATTGCTTTGCATTTCTTGGCATTGCTCGGCAGTGCTTGGCATATTGCTTGAAATTATTTGGCGTTGCTCAGCGTTGCTTGGCGTGGCTTGGCGTTGCTTGGCATTCCACGGCATTCCTTAAAATTGCTTGGCATCGCTTGTCATTGCTTGTCACTATCTGGCATCGCTTGGCATTGCTTAGCGTTACTTGGCGTTGCTTGGCATTGCTTCGGGCTTCTAGGAATCACTTGGCATTACTTGGTACTTCCTGGCACTGCGTCGCACTGCTTGGCATGACTTGGCATTACTTGGTATTACTTGGCACTGCCTGGCATTTCGTTTTGCATCGCTTGGCGTTGTTCCGAAAGCCGAAAGGAAATAAGACCAGGGAACCCTGGGAACCCTCTGACGGCCATTCTTTCAAAGACAGTGCGGTCGGACCGTAGTATAAGGTCGAGGTCGGTTCGGGGAGGGTGCCCTGATGCTCTTCGTGTTTTGTTGGATTCTCTTGTGCGTTGTGCATCATGGGGGAGGGCACCCTCGAATGTTCTTCCCGGCGGAGGGTCTGGTGTTCTTGGGGGGTGTTCTTCTGTCCCTACCGCACGTCGACACAATGTTGCACCACTTTCGAGGGGGGACCCACATGGGTTCTTGAACACCCCGTTCCCCCCCTCCCCCCATCTAATAAGATGGGGGGAAGGGGGGGGATGAGATGGAAGCGTCGATTTGAAAACGATGTCCGCTGTCTTCGGCACCAGCTGGTGCAACATCTTGACGATGCACCGTAGGCCCGACCGAGCCGAAGCAGGACCGAGCCGAAGTGGGACTCTTCCGAGGAGGGCCGGCCGGCCCAGGCCTGTACGGCGCCCACCGGCTGTGCGAGAACAGGCCCGAGCCCTCTTGGAGGCAAGCTCAGCGGGCGAAGAACGGTAGAAAAAATAGACTTTTCCGCCGTCGGGGGGCGGCTGCCCCTGGGCGGCTGGAAAGTTTCTACCCTGAGGGTGCCAGCGGAAGGGTATAAGCTTCCAGCCGCCCTGGAGCAGGCGCCCCCGACAGCGACAAAGTTTGTTTTATACCGTTTTTCGCCCTTTCAAACAGTACAGTCTATCCGCATAGTGCACATCGGTTTTTGAAAGTAGGTATTTTTGGACTCCCAGATCCTGGTCTCTACTTTAAGCGCCTTCCCAGTCCAGGACGAGCGACTTTTCCAGGTTGCCCGTGCACCCTTCCTCTTCGGCCCATCCTCGGCCGCCAACGCCTACCAGTTCTCCAAGAACAAGTAAGAACCCTGTCTAGGCAAGCCGCATTGGGGAGTGGTAGGGAAACAGTACCCGTCGATCGCTGAAAGTAAGTATTTTTGGATACCGAGATCCCAGTCTACTTTGGGCGCCTTCCTACTTCAAGAGTCGAGCGGTTGTCCCTTTTCCCTCCTCCTCAGAGGGCGGGCGGAAGCCCAATCTACTTTCAACGCCTTCCTCCTTCCTGTTTCTACCCGCTTCTTCCGACCGACAATGTATCACAAGAACCTGAGGATCCCGAGGAACGCTGGCCGGCGCAGTCCTAGCACCCACCGGCTCTTCGAAAGTAGGGAAGAACCGCCCGGGCAAGCCTAATCGAGGAAAGAATCATCTCCCGTCCTTCTGAACGTTGCGTGAAAAAGCAAGTGCGCGCGCAGCGCAGAGAAGAGGGCCCCGTTTCGAAAGCAACAGTGCCGAATCCTTGAAAATCTTCTGCGACCACTTTCGAAACCTGCCCCTACAGACGGGTCCAATCGACGCTGGGTATCGGACATCCCTGGTGGGGCTCACTTGTCTGCTGACATCCTTCAAATTCTGAACTCCAGCCTGTGTTTCAGAAATCTGGTTTTCAGCGGTTGGATTCACATATGGTTGTCTAGGTGTTGCAAGATAAGAGACGAGTGTGCGCGGCGCTGAGGCGAGAGGCGGTCCTTGAAAGGAACCACCCTTCATCCGTCAAGCAATCGCAAGCTTTCAGAACGAATGCGCGCGGCGCTAAGGCGAGAGCCCCACTTTGAAAACGACCCCCCTCCATCTATGAAACTGGTGCAAGCGTTTATGGCGAATGTGCACGGTGCCAAGACGAGAACCACATTTTGAAGACGACTCCCCTTCCATCCATGCAGTTACTACAGTGTTTTTTGACGAATGCGCCCGACGCGAAGGCGAGAGCCACATTTCGAAAAGGAAGCGCCCTTTCTTTTCGAAACTTGTACGCTGATCGTGTGCGGCGCGAGGGCAAGGGCTCCAGTTTGAAAGCGACTCCCCTCCTTCCTTGTAGCTGTTGCAAGACTTCAAGCTTCAGGATCATAACGGGCTGGGGAAGTACCAAGCGAAATGCCCGGCCCGCCCCACCGACACGTCTGCGGGTGCGACAGAGCGGGGTTCTGTATAAGGAGAGGGGATGGGGGGGGAGGAGGAGGAGGAGGAGGAGGAGGAGGAGGAGGAGGAGGAGGAGGAGGAGGAGGAGGAGGAGGAGGAGGAGGAGGAGGGAGGGCTCTCCCCCTCGACTTCTCCGGAGATTTCCGGAGGTCCTCTGGACGTCCCCAGGAGCCTCCAGAGACACCCAGAGGCCCAAAAAAGGAGGCAAAAGCGCTCCGAAGCCTCGATCTTCCATCGTCGACCCTGGATCCTCGACTTTGGATTTTTGACCCTCTGTCCCCCTCGATCCGCCATCCGCCATCCTCCAAGTGCGTCGCCCTCGACCCTCGATCGTCGACCCTTGGATCCTCGACTTTGGATCCTCGACCCTCGATCCGTCATCCGCCATCCTCCAAATGATTTGAAGGGTGGCGGATGCCATCCTGCCCATACGATTCCGTTTACGTCATTGTGCAGTGAATTTCCGTTCGAAGCGCAATAGATTGTGCAACGCGTTCTGTCGTCGAAAGTTTGGCTGGCTCAGCGCCACGCCTGACAAATCCTATCTTCGAATCTGGACCCTCGACCCTCCCTGGGGCCAGGAGGCCGAGCTCGACTGCTGCGTGGCCTGCGGCGACCACGGCTGCGGCATCTGCCGGGCGCGGAGGACCCGCCGTCTGGGCTGCCCAGTTCCACAGCGACGGCATCCGCAGCCATCGCCAGAGCCACAGTTTCAGCCCCTTCCAAGAGTAGCTCTTGCTCAACGTTCTCGCAAGCACTTTCACGCTCCCTCCCAGGGCAAAACTAGCATGGTTCACACATCCGTGGAAATAGATAGTGAGAAACTCGTCCAATTCGATGAGATGTGTCCCCATACTGGGGCGGATACGGCAATTTCTGCCTGGGTGTGCCTACGTCCTCCTAAGTGTGTAGATCGTGCAGGGATACAGAAGAAGGGCGAGAACACGAAGGCGATGGAAAGAGGAGGAGACATTGAGAGGGCGACGAGAAGAGGGGGAGGATGAGGAGTATGAGGAGGATGAGGAGGAGAATGCGGACCATTGGGAGGCACACATTCGGCATGCAATTGCAAATTGCGTGCCGCATTTGCGATAACCCCGGCCTCCGGCTGTCCCGGTGGTGTCAGAGGGCGTGGGGATATGGTAGTTTTCACAACTGAGGGCTGAGCAGAGGCAACAGGTCGGACGTACTCATATCTGGCTCGAAGTTTTCGGGGGCGCGCCTCTTCGCCCCTTCCTCCGCCGCGGATGCTCGGCGCTGTCCGCCTCGCCGCGCCGTGGCTGGGGCAGATCGGCGCGGCCTGGCTGGCGCGGCCGCCGGCGTGTCCATCCTGCCCGGCGTGCCCAGCGGTCGACGCCCGCTGCGAGCCGCGCTGCGGGACTTGCCCGACCTGCCCGGCCTGCCCGGCCTGCCCGGCCTGCCCGGTGCTGACCTGCGGCACCTCGCCGGAGCTGTCGTGCCCGGCGTGCCCGGTGGCCCCGCACGCGGCGGCCGAGCCGGAGGCAGCTGGGCCCTGCCCCTCGCCCGCCTCGGCAGAGTGCCGGGGCTTCGGGGCCGGGTTCGCCCTTGGCCTGCTCGCCGGCGCGCTGCTGGCGGTGGTGGCGGCGGTGGCTCTGCAGGCGCTGCGGCGACTCGCGGGCTACGCCGGTGCGTGGCTGCGCTCGGGGCGTGACCTCGAGATCGACGACCTGGGGGAGGAGGCCCGCGCACAGGTGAAGGTGCTGCGCCAGCGTGCTCTCGCTGCCCAGTGATGGCGGCGCCTGGTCCTCCAGCCCACTGCTCGCTCGCCGCCGCGGGCGTCACCGTCGGGGACTTCCTCGGCATCCAATACAACGTTGGTGGGAGGGCGCTCGTGCACGAGCGCGTCGTGGTCACCCTGGACCCCGGCACCCCTGGCACTGCAGCGATCGTCACGGTCGACGGCGAAGAGTACGACGAGCAGGTGGTCGGCAACGCGGACGTGCTCCACTGGGACCTGCTGCCCGGCGGGGCGCCTGGCGGGGTCTTCCCGTGGGCGCCGGCGGCGAGGTACTACCGCTTCCGGGCGATCCCCGCGGTCGCGGCGCTCACCGCTGCCGCCGGCCGCGCCTGCGCCCGCCTGGGCCTCGCGGCGCCCGCTGGCCCCGTGGTGCCCAACGTCGCCGGGCGTGCCCCCGCTGCGGCAGCCCCTGCGGCGGCGCCCGCGGGCGCCCTAGCGCTGCCGGCTGGCGGTGCGCCAGGCCCGGAGGGCGGCGGAGTGGCCGCGCTCGTGGCTGCGCTCGGAGGTCCTGCAGGCGGCGCTGCCGGTGGCGCGCTCGCCCCGGCGCCAGCTCCAGTCGCTGCTGCAGTCGCACCGGCGGCTCTTGTCGCAGGGGGGGCCCCCGTGCCGCCCGCTGGGCTCGGCATGCTGGCCCCTGGGCCAGCCGGGCCTGCCGTGGCCGCCGCCCCCGGCGTCGCGCCGCCTGCCGCAGTGCCTGCGCCCGCGGGCGTGCCGGCTGGCGGCGCCCAGGCCAGCCCTGGCGGCCACGCCCGCATCTTCACCGTCGTGAGGGACTTGCGAGGAGTGCGGCGTGCCGACTTCCGGGTCATGGTCTCCCAGATGGTCGAGTTCAGTGCGCGGACCGCGCACGCTGCTGCGGGTGCTGCAGTACATGGCTCAGAGGTCGGGGACCCCGACGGCCCACCACCAGCGGTGGCTAGCTGAGACGGGGCTCGACCCCGAGTCGCCGGGGGTGGACATCCACCAGATGGGGTGCATGGTGCTGGAGTCGGCAGTGACCTACGATCAGGAGCACGCCACGAACCTGGCCCACCTCGAGCCCGTGGCCCGTTCAGTGCAGGTGCAGGAGGAGCGCTACCGCCAGCTGATCACCCCGGGTGATGCCGGCGCGGCGGACCGCGCGGTCATGATGGGGTCGCAGGAGCTCGACGGGTCGGTGCGCGTCTGCCCGGACCTGCGCGACCACCTCGCGCAGGAGCTGCAGCGGGAGATGGCGGTGGCGAAGGAGAGGCGCAAGGCGCGAGAGGAGCGCGCCCTCGCCGGGGGCGTGCCCGGCCAGCCTGGTGCAGGGCGCGGAAGGGGGAGGCGCGGCGGCGGCCGCAGCGGCCGTGGCGGCGGGCCCAACGCCGCAGGGGGCGATGGCTGACTCGCCCCGGGGCGGATGGCCTGGCCAGCCGCCGCCCCCGTCCCCCTTGGCCCCCGCGGAGCCCGCCAACAGCGTGGGCTTCTCCCCTGGCGGCGCAGGGCGCCGGCTGCAGGACGACGACCGGCAGCGGGATCTTTCCGCTACCGCCGCTGGCTGCTGCTGACGTGGTGTCCCGCGTGTCCGAGACTCGGCGGCGGGCGCGGGCCGGCCATGCCCTCACGCACGCGCTGGGCCGTGCCAATGCTGCCGTGCATGCTCTGAATGACCTCTACGGCGACCAGTCCTCGCCCGCGCCGACGCCGTCTGCCGGGCAGCGCTGTGCCGCCGCCCACATTTGGGACTCGGTCGCTGCTCTGGGCCCTGAGCCACCTGAGTATCGTGACGACGTCTCTGACAACAACAGGGCCCTGCGGGAGCTCCTTGCTGGGTCCGCGCTGTACCCTGACGGCGGCGGGCCCACCACTCCTTACGTGCCAGACCTTGTCTCCTGGCCTGATGTGTCGCAGCCGCCCGCTCCGCTCCTTGGGCTGCTGGGCGAGCGTGACTCAGCCGCGCTGCGGGAGTGGAGGTGCCAAATGCTCCGCGAGCCCGAGGAGGCGCGGCAGCTGCGGGCGGAGGCGTGCCCGCACGGCCCGTACACGGACCCTGCGCTGCTGCGCTCGCTGCCCGACTACGCCGCCTTCCTCAGCGCCATGATGGAGCGCAGCATGCTGACGTTTGCCCCGGCGCGAGGGCGCCGAGGCAACATGGGGATTTTCTTCGTGCCAAAGAAGAGTGGTCGTCTGAGGGTTATCTTCGACACGCGGCTCGCCAACTGCGCGTTCGTCGATGCGCCTCGCACCCAGCTGCCGTCTGCGTCCGCCTGGGGGCGGCTCGAGACGGGCGACGTGCGGGTCTCCATCGCCTCGGCGGACCTGGACGTGGCCTTCTACCACATGCGGGTCCCGGACGGGATGGGGGAGTTCTTCGTGCTGCCGCCCATCCCCGCCAAGCATCTCGCTCCGTACGGGGTCGCTGTGGACGGGGTGGAGGGCGAGTCGCTCCTGCTGCCCCAGGTGGTGGTGCTGCCGATGGGCTTCAGCTGGGCCTTGCACCTCTGCCAGACGGTGCTGGAGGCATCGCTGGGCCGCGCTGGTTTCCCTCAGAGCGACCTCATCCTTGACGGCCGCTGCGGCTGCCAGCTCACGAGCGACCTGGACTCGGTCGCGGGCGCCGGCTACGTGGACAACTACTTCGTCCTCGGCGGCTCTCCAAAGACTGTGAGCGAGCGGCTGCAGGCCATCACCGACGACCTGACGCGCCACCGGCTCACCGTGCACGAGCTCGAGGCGCCCTCCCAGGATCGCGACTTTCTGGGGCTATCGCTGCGCGAGGGGCGCTGGCTGAGCCTCAAGACGCGCAACATCTGGCGGTTGCGCGCGGCCATTCGCGCCACGCTCAGGAGGCAGGTCATCAGCGGCTTCCTGCTGCGCGTTCTGACCGGCCACATCACCTGGGCGCTGCTGCTGCGAAGAGAGTTGCTGTGCATCCTCGGGGCCACCTACGCCTACGTCGAGGCCACTGGGCCAGTCGCGTCGCCGCTTTGGCCCGCGGTCCGTCATGAGCTCCAGCTAGTCCACGACCTGCTGCCGCTCTGCACCGTTGACCTTGGTGCCCCGTGGCACGGGCGAGTTGCTTGCACGGACGCCTCGCCATTTGGGCTGGGCGTCGTCGCTCGTCGCGCCCCAAAGGACCGCGTGGGCACCATTGGAAGAGTTGCTGAAAAGTGGAGGTACAAGGTCGAGGGAGGTGCGCAGGCAACGCGTAGGACGATCGGGATCGACGGTGATAACTCGTCCGAGCAGTTCGGGGGCCTCGAGGGCGACTTCGGGGTGAGTACTCAGCTCGTCGGGGATGGCATCACCGAGGGCCTGCCGTTCGAGGGCGTCTTGGGAGAGGCCTCTGAGGGCCTGGTCGAGCTGCAGCTGCCGAGGGCTCCTGGGGACACCTACAAGTCGATCATGGACATGAGGCCCGTCGTGGACTTCGACGAGGTCCCGTCCCACTTCATTTGTGGGCCCGCCTGGGGCTCCGTCGCCGCCGTGTACATCGAGGAGAGGGCCAACATCCTGGCTCTGGGGGGGGAAGCGCTCGTTCTTGGGTATCGGCACCTCCTGAGGTCCACATCCGCGTTCGGGTCTCGGTTCCTCATCCTCTCCGACAACCTGCCGCTCGTCTTGTCCGTCGGTAAGGGTCGGGCCCGCAGTAAACATCTCCAGAGCACGCTTCGCAAGATCTGCGCGCTCTCCGTGGCCACTGGCTCAACCCTGGCAGTGAGGTGGACACCTTCTGAGGCCAACCCCTCCGACGCGCTCAGCCGCGGGCGCGCTGGCTGGTTCTCTGGCAGTCGGCCGGCGCCGCAGCCCCCTTGGAGGCGGGCTGCTCGCCCATGCGGCGGCTTGTGCTGGTGCTGGCACTGGCCCAGGCTGCAGCCGCGGCTCGCCGCTCGGCCGTCCCGGCGCCCTCGGCGCTCCGGGCCGAGCGTGCGAGCCATGCGCGAGCGCTGGCGGCGGAGACGACGGCGGTGGCGGGGCTGTCGCTGCTCGAGCGGCTGGCGGTGAGGAGCTCGACGGCTCGTCTCTACCGGGGGGCCCTCACCAGCTTCGTCGACTTCTGTGTCGAGCGCCGCCTGGACTGGGCGACGCACACGGGCCTGGACGAGGCGCTGGTGCTGTACATGGACAGCGAGTTCCTCCTCGGCGGCGGCGGCAACCAGGGGAACGTCCTCTTGGCGGCGGTGGCGCACTTCCTCGGTTCGTTCCACAAGCGGACCTCGCTGCTGCTGCCGAGGGCTCACCGCGCGGCTGCGGCGTGGGCGCGGCGCGCGCCTGCGCGCACCCGGCTGCCACTGCCGCGTCGCGTGGTGTTCGTCTTGGCGGGCCTCCTGGTCCACGACGGGTTCCCACGGCTGGCCATTTGCATCCTCGTCATGTTCGCCTCGTACCTCAGGCCTGGCGAGGCGGCGAAGCTGCGCGGGCGGCATCTGATATCGCCGTCGGTGGCGGCGGGCGCCGGCTACCAGTTCTTCGGGCTGCTCCTGCACGAGAGTGGACAGGAGCCAGGCAAGACGGGCGTGAACGACGAGAGCATCCTCTTCGATCGCGAGGCTTGGCTCAACCCGCTGCTGCACGCTCTGAAGCAGCCCACAGCGCCGTCGGAGCCGCTGTGGGGCCAGGAGGTGGGCCGACTGGGCGCGCTGTTCGCTCAGGCCTGCCGTCGGCTGTCGCTGGACCGGCTTCGCCCGCACTTGTACAGCTTGCGCCATGGGGGGGCCTCGGACGACATGCTCTCCCAGAGGCGCCAGCTGGGCGAGATCCAGCGGCGCGGCCGCTGGCGGACAGCCAAGAGCCTGAACCGCTACGCAAAGGAGACCAAGCTCTTGGACGAGCTCGCCTGGATCCCGCCCAAGGTGATGGAGCTCGGGGCCTTCGTCGAGAGCAACCTGGAGGCGCTGGTCGGCGGCTGCCTGCCCAGCTGGCTAGCGACTGGCCGCGTCCCGGCCGCCGCCGCGTCGCTCCTCCGCCCGCTGCCTCAGGGAAGGCAGCCGGCCGCCGGCGGTCGCCCACGCAGGCGGCCCGCGGCCCAGGCGGCGACGGCGGCTGCCCGCCGGCGGACGCGGTGAAGCGGCACCTGCAGCGGCAGCATCGCCGCGCTGCCGCGCCAGGCCGGGCTTGCCCGCGGCTTCGCCGCATTTGGGCTCGACTGGCAGCGCAGCCCACTGGAGGATCATGTGCGGCCTGCCTTCATCGCCACAGTCGTCGGCTGGATCCGGTCGCGCGCAGCGGGTGCTGTCTGGCTGGGCACCCCCTGCACCAGCTGGACGCGAGCCCTGCGGCGCCCGCTCAGGTCGGACCGCTACCCGTTCGGGCTGCCCGACCTCTCATCGTCCGAGCAGGCTCCCGCCGCCGCGGGCAATGCCACGCTGCGCATGACAGTGATCATAATTCGTGAGTGCATCTCTGCCCGTGTGCCCGTCTTTCTCGAGAATCCACAGACCTCGCAGATCTGGTCGTGCCCTCCCCTCGCTCGCCTGTGTCGCCGGCCGTCTTGCCAGAAGTCAGTTCTGCATCGGTGTCAGTACGGCGCTGATTTCAAGAAAGCCACGACCATCATGTCTTGGGGGGCTGGCGCCAGGCACCCTTTACAACTTGTCTGCTCTGGAAAAAAGAGGCATTTGCAGTCGCTCGGGCAATCGTCATGTAATTCTGGAGGGCAACGATGAGCAAGGGCGAAAGCGCACTGCTGTCGCCGCCGCGTATCCTCGTCTCCTCGCCCAGGCCGCTTCGCGCTGTGTCGTCGAAGCGTTGCACATTCAGCCTGGTCTCGCCCTCCAGTCTCTTGCCATGAGATAGCCCACATTGCCTGCTCTCCGAAAAGGGTTTCTTCTTTATATATACGGCCTTCGGCCAGTTGAACC